AGTGTGAAAATTCCGATCCACGATAGTCTAACTCTTGGCATCCCCATCTTTTCCATTGTACCAGCTAAGGGAAGCATCAAAACTAAGGCTCACATGAGATTAACAAGAAGTGCATTTTTTCCTACAAATAGTAACTAAGCCTCTCTTTTTTATTTTTTTATTTATTTTTTGCTTTTTGCTTTTATTCCTCCTCTTTTAGACCAAGCCTCTTTAGAGCCTGTGCCAGGCCTTGTACTGAGATGAGATGAATGAAGTGTGGCACTGCTCCCTGGGGAGATGGACACCCAATGTGACCATCACTGAGATGGACAGGGCAGCAGGATGTGCCACCCACTTGGATTCAGGGCCTCCTGTGCAGCAAACACTGCTTTAGTCCCTGGCAAGGCCCTGCTTCCCATGGACTTCTCCTTCTTCAACTCAAGTCTTTACTCTTTTCTTAAAATTATTTTTATTTATGTATTTGAGACAGAGTCTCACTCTTGAGTGCAATGGCGCAATCATGCCTCACTGCAGCCTTGATCTCCCACACTCAAGCAATCCTCCTGCCTCAGCCTCCCAAGTAGTTGAAGTCTCAAGGCACATGCCACCCCACCTGGTTAATTTTTTTTTATCTTTTGTAGCAACAAGGTTTCACTATGTTGCCCAGGCTGGTCTCAAACTCCTGGGCTCAAGCAATCTGCCCACCTCAGCCTCCCATAGTGCTGGGATTACAGGTGCAAGCCACCATGCCTGGCCAAGTCTTCATTCTTGAGCAAAATAACACAAAGAAACTGAGTGATCAGAGAAGGCCCTTCTGGGAGGTGATATTTAAGCAGAAAAGTCCAGAGTCCAGCATGGGCAGATGAGAACACCAGGCGGAGGGAACAGGCCGTGCAAAGGCCCTAACGAGGGGATGAGCTCCCTGTGCCCATGGAAAGGTCGGTCAGTGTGGCTCAAGTGCGGCAAGGGAGGCAGGGTCCTGTGAAGGACAAGCAGGGACACTGCATTTGGCTCAGAGACCAGGGCAGAAGAGAGGGCAGACAGAGGACTTTCAACAGAGACACTGTCAAACGACTGATATCTTAAGCCGCATTTACAGAAGCTGCTGGGTACAGCACACAGAGAGGCAAGGGTGGCAGCTGCGAGACCAATGAGGATACTCCTGCAACCACTCAGGCCAGGCAATATGCACAGGTTTGGGACTGAGGCGGGGACGCCGGCAGCAGGCAGCAAGAAGGAGCTGCCGGTGCAGGGAGACAGCCAGGGCCCACCAGGAATGGTCACTGTGCCTGATGTTACTGAGGGCACAAGTGAGCTGGATGCAGACAGGGTGACCGGGTCTGGCCCCGTGGAGGCCATGGAGGATCTGGCAAGAGCAGTCAGTGGACTGAGGAGGACAGAGAATGGGAAGTGAGGGAAGAAGGGCTGGAAACAGAAGTGGAGAACCAGGCAGTGGCAAGAGGGGGTGACATCCAGGAAGGCATGGTGGCTTTGCTTTTTGAGCTGGCAGGTCCTGGAGCATGGCTGTAGGGCAGTAGGAATGACCCCTGAAGAGGGCGAGAGTCACACTGCAGGGGAAGTCACTGTAGAAGTACAACCTCCAAGGAAGAAGGAGGGTGAATGCAAAGAGCCTGGGATGGTTTGGCTGTTGATAAAGGAGGGACATTGCTGGCTCTGCAGAGGAGCGGGAGGCAGGGCTTGGAGAGCATTCACCAGAGCTCAGAACTCCCAGATACAGACTGGGCTCTTTTGGGGTGCTATGTCTCCTCTAGCACCATTTGACAGATAGCTATAGGAGGTTCGTCTTAACCAGGCTAGAGGCCCAACAGTGAAAACAACGGCGGGGAGGGAGGCAGGAGGTGGAGGGTGTTTGGGGAGGTGTGATTACAATGAACACTAAGCTGGGCAAGGAAGGCAGTGAGGACACACAGGTGATCAGTCAGGTAAAGGGGAGGGTCAGTAGATCTGACATCCTTGTAAGGCCAGAGAGTCGTCACCTGAATGTGAGGAAAACCCCCAACTTGAAAGAAGGCCAAACAATCAACAGGTGGAACTCAAATGAACTGAATGGAAAACAGGAACACAGGGAACAAGGAAAAAGATGGTTTAATATCCTAAAAATCTCCTCAGAGAGGTATGGTAAGATACTGCATCCATAAATGGAGACGGAATGCATAAAAGTGCTTTTGCAAACTAAAAATAACTAAAATAAAAAAGAAAATGGGGAAAAGAGTCAAAGAAACTCTCCGAAACAGATCAAAAAGACAGAAAGCTAGGTATTACAAAAACATAAGAAATGTAGAGGATCAACACAGAAAGCCAAACCGGCACTGGGGGATTTCTAGAAAGCAGCAGCAGAGAAATCGTATGAAAACAAATTTCAAAGAACTAGTACTCTGTCTAGAACTGAAGGTCATGAGTCTCCAGAAACAGTGGGCCCACCAAGTATCTAGTCCAATGAACGGGAAAACCCCCACATCAACAGAAAATTTCAGAACACCACAGATAGACAGAAAATTCATAAACTATCTAGAAAATTGATGGGGTAGAGTGGGGAAAATGCAGAATCTAGACCAAATATCAGAAACTGGCATGGCATTGGACTTCTCAACAGCAATGTGGGACACGGGAAGACAATGGGATTTTCTCTTCAAAATTCTTAACAGGGTCCATCTGATGCTAGACGGCCCAAGTTCAAATCCTAGACCTGCCACTTACCAGCTGTGATCATAGCCAAGGTATTTACCTCACTGGGTCTGTTTCCTCATCAATAAAATGGGCATAATGATAATCTCTATCACTTCTTTGATGTGAGGGTGAATTAATCCATCTAAAGCAGTGAGGACAGTGACTGGCACGTGGTAAGCATTTAAAGATTTGCTCTTATTAAAATAAGCCAGCCACACTATCCATCAGCAATGAGACACCTTCAGACATACATGCCTACTCACCTTTCTCACCAAGCCATTGCAGGGTATCCTCCAGCAACTTATGGGGTTAAACCAAGAAAAAGGAAAAGACAATGCAAAGAACATTTCCCCTTTCACAGGGTGCCCAGCATCTGAACACACTTATTCTACTAGGAAAATCACTCACCTTATAAGGCAAAACCCCCACTTCACCCAACACACACACACACACACACACACACACACACACACACAATCGCTGAAAATGTCAGATCCTGCAGATCCTCTGTCTCTGCTTAAATGACACCCTATCCTGACTGCACTGTAACCCAGCAGGCCTCCATTGCCCTTCCCTGCCTTCTCTCCATAGTCTGCATAGCCTGTGCCATCACTTGGTAAACTTTAGATTTAACTTGTTGAGATCCTCAACCCTTTCATATCCTCAAAGCATGTGCCAGGTAAGGATCTCAAAATCAGAGTTGAGTTTACGCACCTGAAGTCCTGCTTTGGAATGCAGTGGCCACTGCCTACTGTTAATATCCATTGTCTTAGGACTCACAATGCCTACATTAATACCCTGTTACACGTAGTCCCAGTGGGACACTGCTTTACCCCAAGAACTGTGATGCAGCTGGGGCAAGAGGAAGGAGGGAGGGGTAGTGCAAGTAAAACAGGGGTGGAGTGGGAGTTGAAGAAAATGAAATCTTCTGTGGAGAAAGGAGAATGCTCAGACATTGCTTGTGGGAATGTAGGACAGCCATTATGGAAAACAGTATAGGCCAGGAGCAGTGGCTCATGCCTGTAATCCCAGCACTTTGGGAGGCTAAGGCAGGTAGATCGCCTGAGGTCAGGAGTTTGAGAATAGCCTGACAAACATAGTGAAACCTCTTCTTTACTAAAAATACAAAAAAATTTGCCTGGTGTGGGGCAGGCGCCTATAATTCCAGCTACTTAGGAGGCTGAGGCAGGAGAATCACTTGAACCCAGGTTGCAATGAGCCAAGATCACGCCATTGCAGTCCAGCCTGGGCAACAAGAGCGAGACTCCACCTCAAAAAAAAAAAAAACGCATAGAGGTTCCTCAAAAAATTAAAATTAGAGCTACCCGATGATCCAGCAATCCCATTGCTGTGCAAAAATCCAAAAGAATGGAAATTAGTATATCTGAGGCCCAGCACAGTGGCTCATGCCTTTAATCCCAGCACTTTGGGAGGCTGAGGCTGGTGAATCACCTGAGGTCAGGAGTTCGAGGTCAGACTGGACAACATGGTGAAACCCTATTTCTACTAAAAATACGAAAATTAGCCAGGCATATCCCTGTGTGCCTATAGTCCCAGCTACTCAGGAGGCTGAGGCAGGAGGACTGCTTAAATCCAGGAGGCAGAGGTTGCAGTGAGCCAAGATCATACCACACTGCACTCCAGCCTGGGCAACAGAGCAAGGCTCTGCCTCAAAAAATAAAAAAGGATATCTACGTCACCATGTTTATTATAGCACTATACCCAATAGCCAAGAAGGGATCAACCTAAGTGTCCATCAGTAGACAAATGGATAGAGAAAATGTGGTATAAATACACAATAGAATATATTCAATCATAAAAAAGAATGAAATCCTGTCATTTGCATCAACATGGATGGAAATGGAGGTGGTTATGTTAAGTGAAACAAGCCAGACACAGAAAGAAAAATATTGTATGTTCCTCATACTCATACGTGGGAGCTTAAAAAGCTGTTCTCATGGAGGCAAAGGGTAGAATGGTGGTTACCAGAGGCTGGAAAGGGTGAGGGAAAGAAAAGAGAAGCTGGTTAATGGATACAAAAATAGGCAGAAGAATAAGATCTAGCATTTGATGACTACAGTTAACAGTAATAGTTCAAAATAGCTGGAGGAAAGGAACCAGAATGTTCCAACATAAAAAGGGGGTGAATGTTTGGGATAATAGATGTCCTGATTGTCCCCTGCAATCATTACACATTGTATGCATGCATCAAAATACCACACCTGCTCCAAAAATATGTACAACTATTATATATCACTTTTTTTAAACTTGGATCAGAGATGCTTTATGTAAAGGTCCATCTCAATTTACGTGTGGCAGCACAAAATAAAGCATCAGATTGTGACACACCATTTCCATGGCAAGCGGTCGAATCCAACACGCAAAACCCAGCGAGCAGCCAAACAGTGTAACCTCCGGGCCTCTCGCTGGGACTCCAACAGGGTCAGCAAGTCGCCCTTGCGCACGGGGCCTTTTACATTGCGGATGCTGGAGCAGCTCATGTCGTCCATAAATTCCATGCGCACCTGCGTGCACTGAGAACGGGTCCTGCCCAGGACCTTGGTGACCCTGGCCAACTTGACAGGCTGCACATGGCTGCTATCCATGATGGCGGCTCGGCAGCAGTCTGGTGGAGCTATATATCATATTTTAAAAAAGAAATAATCAAGGTTCTGAGCCTTGGAAACATAGTGAAACTCCTTTGCTACAAAAAATACAAAATTATCTGCACATGGTGGCGTGTGTCTGTGGTCCCAGCTACTCTAGAGGCTGAGGTAGAAGGATCATTTGAGCCCAGAAGGTCCGGCTGCAGTGAGCCGAGATCACACCACTGCACTCCAACCTGGGTGACAGAGCAAGATCCCATCTCATAAAAAAAAAAAAAAAAAAGTTTCTGGCACACAGTAGGTACTCTGTAAAAATATATTAAATGACTGAAAGAAACAAACAAAAATCACCTTTTATAAAATAAATTTTTTATAAAATAAATAAAAATCATTTATTGAATGACTGAAAGGAAAAAAAAAAGATGAATCCTCATGTGTCATAATAGGAAGCCAGTAGCCAGTAAATACACTTGATCTAGAAACAGGAGCAGAAATCTTATTTAGGGCAGCCTAATCCCGGCTCTACCGCTCACCAGCTGAACGTCCCTTTCCTCCTCCACATTTGTTTCTTCATCTGCAAATCAGGGATAGTAACAGCAACTCCTTCCTAGGGCTGCTGGGAGAATGAAAGGAATTATGTTTGTAAGGCACCTGGAGCACGCCTGGACAGTAAATGCGCAGGGTTACCTTCCACTGTTTTTATTTGTGTAACTGAGATGCACAGAAGAAAATGCCAGAAAAAAATTACTGAGGTGAAGACCAGGCTGTTGTGTTATCCAGATGCACACACCTGGTGCCCCCTGGAGGTGGGCACCATAGCAGCCCTGGCCGAAGGCAGCTTCCTCTCTGGAGGGTGACAGCGGAGGAAGGGGGCTCTCTCTAAAGCCTTATTTTATTAGGTGATTTTAAAAACTATGTTTGGCATTATTTTGCTAAAAATAAAAGTTTATTTTTAGAATTTTAATAAAACAAGTTCCCACAATAGTAATAATAACAAACAATGGAACTTGGTGAATGACAAAAAGAAAGCAATGAAGGAAAAGACAAAAGAAAATCTTGGAAATTTGACATAAAATTCAATTTTTTATTCCAAAATCATCATAAAAATGTATTAAGACAGCAGACTCATAAAAATATTAGTAACAAATATGATCAAAAAGGCATTAACATCCTAAATGACCGCACTTTAAAAATCTCAATTTTAAAAATTGTATAAGTAAAATATTCAGATGCCCAGCATAAACAACAATTTGCAAAAGAGGAGATAAGAACCCTGAGTCAACACACAGTATCTGTTTGATCATACTAATAATCAAACAAATGTATGATAACAACCAGATGTTATTTCCATCTTCAAACCAGGAACATTTTGAAACACTGGTGAAGATACAGTACTCTAGGACAGCACTGCCTGCAGCAGTAAAAATCAGTGTACCCTTCCCAAAGAGCTATGTGGTAATATGTGTTAAATGTCACCACCCTATAGCCTAGTAATTTCCACTTCTGGGAATCTATCCTTCAAAATAATCAGAAACGCAAATGAAGATTACTATATAAAGATGTTCACTGCAGCATTAGCTTTACTGGGGGGAAGCTGAAAATTCTGAACCATTATGCACATGCAAGTAATATATATACATATTTGTATTCACATAAACTATCTCTGAGAGGCCAGACAAAAGAGAGAAGAGGAAGGCTCTCCCTAAGGACCCTTTTTGGACCTTCTAAATTTTGGACCATTTTAATGTATCACCTATTCAAAACACTTCAAAACATTTAATAAAACGTAATATGCAGGCCAGGTGTGGTGCCTCAGTCTATAATCCCAGCACTTTGGGAAGCTGAGGTGGGAGTATTACTTGAGCCCAGGAATTCAAGACCAGCCTTGGCAACATGATAAAAACCCGTCTCTATAAAAAAAATTAGCCAGGTGTAGTGGCGTGTGCCTGCAGTCCCAGCTGCTTGAAAGGCTGAGGTGGAAAATCGCCTGAGCCCGGGGAGGAGGAGGCTACAGTGAGTTGTGATCGGGCCACTGCAATCCACCCCTGGGTGACAGTGAGACTCAATCTCAAAAAAAAAAAAAAAAACATAGTAGGCCAGGCGCAGTGGCTCACGCCTGTAATCCCAGCACTTTGGGAGGCCAAGGCAGGTGGATCACTTGAGGCCAGGAGTTCGAGACCAGCCTGTCCAACATGGTGAAACCTCATCTCTACTCAAATACAAAAATTAACTGGGCATGGTGGAGCATGCCTATAATCCCAGCTACTCCAGAGGCTGAGGTGGAAGAATCTCTTGAACCTGGGAAGCAGAGGCTACAGTGAGCTGAGATTGAGACACTGCACTCCAGCCTGGGTGACAGAGTGAGACTCTGTCTCAAAAAAAAAAAGTTTCTGAATGTTTACAAAGGATGTTAATAACATAGAAAAAGTTTATTATGTTCAATGTTAAGTTTATTATTTATTTCTTTATTTTTTTGAGATGGAGTCTCACTCTGTCACCCAGGCTGGAGTGCGGTGGCTCAATCTCAGCTCACTGCAACCTCCGCCTTCCGGGTTCTTCAAGTAATTCTCCTGCCTCAGCCTCCCAAGTAGCTGGGATTATGGGCCCATGCCACTACACCCAGCTAATTTTTGTATTTTTAACAGAGACAGTGTTTCGTCATTTTGGCCAGGCGGTCTCAAACTCCTGACCTCAGGTGATCTGCTTGCCTCAGCCTCCCAAAGGGCTGGGATTACACGCGTGAGCCACCGCACCTGGCCTTAAGTTTAAATGTAAGTATATAAGACTATATTCAGAATGATCTCAATGATGTAAAACTATACTAATACACAGACAAGCATAGAAAAAATACTAAAAAGAAACTTACCAAAATGCAAACAGTAATCATTACTGAGGGTGAGATTCCAAACAAGTATTATTTCTGTCTTTCCATGTTTGCATACTTTCCAAAGCTTCTACAGTAAGTATATAGTACTTACATGTGTGGAAAAAATAAAGAGCATTACATTGAATTATCTTTAAAGGGTCAGCCACTTCCCAAAGAAGGACTAGGAGTAAAAACTAAGTAATTTGTTCAAAGTCAGGAACCCACAAGAATAAACCAATATTCTACCATTCCCATCTAAGCTGCTGCTCAGGGCACTGTCAGCACGTTTCCAGTTCCAGCGATGAGCTGGCTCTGGGATACCCACTAAAGAACCGGCAGAAGCCTCCCACCTGGGCCAGCCACTCAAATGCCACCTCTCATGGAAGAGTGCCTCTCTTGTCAGTGCTGTCTTATGAACACTCTGAAAACAGGACAGACTCTAGGACTCACATACACATCTCCAACAGGAGGCAGGCCTAGTGACCAGCATGCCAGCCCCACCTCAATGCTTCTATGGCCATCTAATCACCCTCTCAACTGGAGGCTCCCCAAGGCAGATGCCAAGGATGCTAGAGAGCCTAGCATGTGACAATAGTGTTAGGCAACAGGTGAGGAACAAATGAATAAATAAAAGAATGATATTCCAGACTAATGCTGTCCAACAGAACTTTCTGTGATGGAGGAAACACTCTATATTTGCATTTTCCAATATAGTAACTACTAGCTAGCCATGTGTCTACTGAGCACTTAAAATGTACCTGGTATGACTGGGAAACTAAATTTTAGATTTTATTTAATTGTAATTCATCTAAATAGTCATGTGTTCTTGTGAAAAAGCAAACATCACAAGACAGTTTTAAGATTAAAAAGGATGATCTTTTATTTTATTTTTAGAGATAGGGTCTTGCTCTGTCACCCAGGCTGGAGTGGCTTGATTCCAGTTCACTGCATCCTTGAACTCCTGGACTCAAGTGATCCTTCCCCTCAGCCTCCCAAGCAGCTGGGACTACAGGTGCATACCACCACACCCAGCTAATTTTAAAATTTTAAAAGTAGAGACAGAGTATCACTATGTTACCCGGGCCGGTCTTGAACTCTTGGCTTCAAGCAATCCTCCTGCCTCGGACTCGCCAGTAGCTGGCTCTACAGGTGCATGGCTATTAAGATGATTAATTTTTAAAAAGATGATTAGTCCAGTGCCTAACAGTGCTCAATAAATCATCACTGTGAGACAATGAAAAAAAACGAAGAGGAGGAAAAGCAATAGGAGGAGAGTTCCCAACAGCCTCACCTGCTCAGCCAACATCAAACAATGGGAATTTACTTGTCTCCATCCCCCACCCCACCCCCAGCAAATAGCTCTTCAGTATTCTGAGTGCATAGCAGTGAGAGCATGGAGAGAGTGGGAATGGGAGGAGTGGGGAGGGAGAGGTATCAAGCTGGGACAGGAGAGGCCCTGCAGACTTGCTGAAGGAGGAAGGCTGCTGGCCTCTATTGCCTGAGACAGTAAGGGGGTATTCACTCCAAGAAGAAAGCTTAAGCCATTAGAATCGGCAACAGGTGTAAGAAAAGGGCTTCCCAAGGCAGTCCCCAGGCCCAGGATTTAACACTCTGTCCAGTGTCCTGCAGAGGGCTGCTCTGCAAACTCAAGTTCGACCTGTCCTCAGAATTCCCAGTCGTTAGCCATCTAGAGAGCCCTTTTCCGCCCTACCTCACTGATCCTCACACTAGCCCGGCCAGAGGAGCAAGCACCTATTTCCATTCTACAACTCAGCAGGCCAAGGCTTGGTGAGATTGTCTGAGGTCATGAGGCTAAGACTGGCTGGTGAACTGGAGTCTGCCTAGGACAGACACAAATGATAAGGGGGTGATGCTGCAGAGAAGGCTGGAAACTCAGCCAGCCTGAAGGGGGAATCTGCAAACACCCGCCCTTCTCGGGCTCTGAGCTCCAAGAAGCCAGGGCTCCATCTCTTGGTTCTCCTCGGTGTCCTAGGGCAGAACCCAACACTGGGAGCATCCTATAAATATGGATGAGCCGACCAACCACCAGCCAAACACAGGTATGGCCATTCCAGTTTTCAGGCTACTTTCACATACTTCATCCCATCCGCCCCTAATAATTGGCCAGACAGGGATCACTCTCCCATTTTACAAATGGGGAACTGAGGCTCAAAAATTGAGAGCCACTCAGGGTTGCTGTACAGAAAATCTGCTTGGAGAACTTCCCAGGAAACCCCGCCTTGACTGGAGAGGAGCAGATTAATCCTGCCGGGGTCCTGTGTTCTTTCTATTCTCTGGTCTATCCTCTATCAACAAGTCAGAGATGTGTTCATGACATACCCTGCCTCCAAGAAGCCCACAGTTTCATGGGGAAGGAAAAATGAACCCAAGCATTGGAACACCTGACTCTTTCATGACAGAATGAGTGGCAAACAGCAGTCAGACAATGAAGGAGGGACAGGTTAACTCTGGCTGGAGGAGGAAGGATTTTGACTGTGATGAGATGGAACGCCCAGTAGGTGGCAAGGCATGGAGAAAGAGCGGGTGGGCCTGCAGCTGACACCTGCCAGCTCTAGAACTCCGGGCATTTAGCCTCTCCAGGCCTCAGCTTTGTCATCTGTAAAATAAGGATGCTAATACCCACTGCGCAAGGAGTGAATACAGAAATAATTAATGGCCTCATGGGACATCTACTCACAGCAGGGCTCAAGAAATGGAAGCCACTACATTACTGCAGGGCTAGCCAGGCATGGGGACATGGAGAGTAGGACAGTCCTGGCATCATAGGTTTAAGAGGAAGAATCAAGGTAATTCCACTGGATATTAGAGTCTGACAGCAACTCCCCACCCAATAAACCAGGGAAGAGGTGAAGGTGTGCCTCCTGACCCACCCCACAGACAACCCCCATCCTACTGGACACCACAGGCTGAGCAGGCATCTTGGACTGACCCAGGACCAGGACCTGTCAGATGTGCTGAGGCAGCCCACACCCACCTGCCTCCCTAACCCCCATCCTCCTAGGGGAAACCACCATGACCACCAACCAGACCTGCATCCTCCATCACTGCAGTTCAAGCCTCAGTTTGACCCCAAAGTCCTTA